CTCAGGCATCCAATCTCATGTCTTCTTCATGCAAAAGCAATCAAAGAGCCTGACTATTCCATCACAGATGCTGATCTTCTATTTTCCTAAGTCTATCTTCACTGATGATATCTTTCTATCTCCTCTTTTTTTCCTGAGTTTATTTTCACTGATATCTCTATATCTCTCTACCTCCTTCTTTGTTCCTTTCTTCACTGATATCTCGATCAATATTTTTCTATCTTCTCCTTTATCCTGAGTCTATCTTCACTGGTACCTCTCAATATTTTTCTGCCGTCCCCTTCTTTCCTGAGTCTATTTTCACCCTCATATTTCTCTATCTCTTTCGGTCGTTAGCAGGTACTCTGAGGCATTCTCATCTATCATCATTAGCTCACCTCCTTTTCTTTGTATGTTTCTCTCTTATAACATCTCTGCAGTACTTGTATGACCTGTTTGTGTTGCAAGTGCCGTAAAACTCTCACTAAAACTAGACTCACTGTATCTCTATATTCCCAGTGAAGAAAAGTTTTAAGGTGATCGAGGACTCAGACCTGTTTAAGATTGTCGACTTGACCGGCCTTCAGTGGCAGGCCATACTGGGAGCCTGTGGCCTCGGCTTCTGTCTCTCATTGCTTTTCTTCATGGATCAGAACATCTCAGCTGCTCTAGTGAATGCACCCCAGAACAAGTGAGTTTGTCTCTACCATACCAATGTTGAAAAAATATATTGTTTTTGGGTGGCAATGTCAAGTTTACTGATTTTTATCAATCATGCATAAAAAGTTTTTTTTCTCCCTTTTTTGCGGGGAAGGGGGTTGGTGATGTCGTGTATTTTAACAATGTTTCTATCGGGTTTTTTAAATTTATTTGGAAACAGTAAAACAGTTTACTTAAGTTCATAATGTATGCTCTGTCATTTATCGTAGCATAGTGTACAGTTTACTGATTACTAAAACTTGTTACCTTTTTATGGATTTGGAGTAATTTAACGATGTTGACACCTGTCATGAAGAGCATTCAGTCCTTCAGTTTAATGGTGTTAAAGATTTTTTACCTTTAATGTTATGTATAGTGTTCAGGTAACTGATATTTGAAATGTATACCTTTTATTGATAGTGTTCAGCTTTCTGGTGTTAAAAATCTGTGCAATGTTCAAGATTTTCCTTGCATTACTAAATTTTTCCTATTCCTTGATGATTGGAATGTTTTAAAAGGATTTATTTCCTTTTTTATGAAACTGTGAATGATACGGATGTTCTGTCCAATACATTGTGTAAAGCAAGTTTATTGGTGGTGTTGGAAACTATTTTACAGGATATCTAAAAACTTTTTAGTCAATCAAAATATCACAGATCACTTCAAGTCAAATTTAGCTTTAATGAGTAGAAAACCACCTTATGAAAACTGATCTGCAAATTTACAGAGATGGTGTATTTGACCCTATTGTATAATATAGTGAAAATTTGGGTTTTAGAAAATATCGGAGTTAGTCTATTTGTATGTGACACCATCAATAGGTTATGAAACCCAGACTCTTATAAATATTTTTCTGCTTTTTTCTGCTTAGGATGAAGAAGGGCACAGCATACCACTGGGACCTTTTGGTGATTGCTGTCATCAACTGTGTCCTGTCTCTCCTGTGTTTCCCATGGGTGCACGCCGCGTTGCCACACTCGCCGCTGCACGTACACGCTTTGGCAGATGTGGAGGAAAGGGTGGACCAAGGACACATCTACAAGATGTAAGTCATGTCATTTTGTGCGTGTGTGTGTGGGGGTGGGGGTGGAGGAGGGGGGGAAGAAGAGTGATCATGTGGATTAGCAAGCAGTGAGGAGGGGGTGAGCCTAAGTGATCGCTTTTTATCAATGATAATAAAAACCTACAACAATCCCTAGTAAGAAAGAGATGATTGCAATCTTTTGGAGCGACACCATCAGTAGGTCATACTCCTACCTTTTCTTTCTGTTGTTCCTGTTTATCTGTCTTGCTCTTTATCAGTATTAAATGGTCACGATATAGTGTCTATGTGTTTCTCTTTACTCTAAACAAAATGTCAGTCAGTCCTATATCATTATCGCTCCTTGTATCTCACTCTCCAGTGTTTCAAAAGTGTAACAAGCTACTGTAGTTAGAATATTGTTATCAGTTGTTAAAATAAGTTATTATTTCTATAATAGTATAATTCATTATTATGATTAATTTTATCATTAGCACACCTCTAGTGTTTTAAATATGTTGTAACAAGCTAGATCTATTACTTTTATAGTTAGAATATTGTTATTTATTGTTAAAATGAATTTTTATTTCTATGATAGTGTAATACATTGTTATGATGAATTTCATCATTACCATACCCTGTTTCTCACTCTCCAGTGTTGTGAAAGTGCGAGAGACAAGACTCACCTGCATTTTCTCCCACATTCTGATTGGGGTGAGCCTGCTGTTCCTGTCTGTACTGGCCTATATCCCCACCCCAGTGCTCTATGGCCTCTTCCTCTACGTGGCTGTCACATCGCTGTTTGGAAACCAAATGTTTGAGCGAGTTCAACTTTTCTTTACTGAGCAGGTGAGTTTGGGGATTGGTAATATAAGAACGCAAGATGCCAAATAAAAAGGAAACTGTAATGTAATACACTGCTAAGAAGTGTTATGAAAATGAATGGAAGTAAACTTAACGACTTACAAGAATTGTAATGGTTGAGGAATTTTAAAAGAACAATGACTCAAAAATAAAAGAGAGAAAGAATATATTGATAGGAGTACTTTTTTCTTCCTTTCAATGGGCTGAACTTTGAATTTTCTCTTCAGCTCACAGATTTTTCTCCACTATCTTCCCTTCCCTTTCCTTTTCTAAACTAATGTTGCCTTTTTTTCTGTGCCCTGGGGCAGTCTGCCTACCCACCCAACCACTACATCCGCCGAGTACCACAGAGGAAGATGCACACCTTCACAGGGCTACAGCTGGTTCAGCTTCTGGTGCTGTGTGGTGTGGGGTTCGCACCCTACCCTTACCTCAAGATGTTCTTCCCTGTCCTCATTTTTGCTCTCATACCAATTAGGTGAGTGACCTATTGTTTCTCTCTGAGACACTCAGTGTGTACTTTTTCACGCATAAGCCTGCATTTCGCTTTATCATAAAAGAATCATAACTTTTGGGTAATGAAATGGTGAAGGAACAATACAGTTGAACCTGCTCTAAAGGTCAAAGACAATCACCCATACAAACAACCACTTCCCATTTCCCCCTTTTGCATATGTGTCTTTTGTCTTGTTTTGTTTAATTTCTCTCTGAGACACTCAGTGTGTACTTTTTCATGCATAAGCCTGCATTTCGCTTTATCATCAAAGAATCATAACTTTTGGGTAATGAAATGGTGAAGGAACAATACAGTTGAACCTGCTCTAAAGGTCAAAGACAATCACCCATACAAACGACCACTTCCCATTTCCCCCTTTGCATATGTGTCTTTTGTCTTGTTTTGTTTAATTTTGTTTTATATACATTTATAATGGCAATGGATGGCTGTCTTGACAATTTTAACAGCATTTGATTAGTGGCATCTGCAGAATGACAGGGCAGAAAACTGCACTTTATAGTATATATATGATATGTTGTTTTAGTTTTAGTAAGAGTTTTGCGGCACTTGCAACACAATAAGGTCATATACATACGAATGGGTCTCAGAAAGGTTGCATTGAAAGCATTGACTTTAACACTAGAAATCTCCTTTGGTAGTGTGGGTATGACCTTCTTCAACATAAATAATGGAAGCTAAAGGAACAGTTTTAAAAAACGTAATAATATTATTATTGTTGTGGATGAGTTTACTTCTTAGGGAAAACTTCTTCTCCTCAGATGTCACGTCTGAAGTAGGCATTGGGGTTCTCAGTACTCCATTCCTCCCTGTATGAGTCTTGCTGATCAGCACAGTTTTTCTGATTGTGTTAGTTTTCATAATGTTGTCCAAGCTATCTGTGCATGTTAGGAGAACAGTGAAACTGAAAGACCAGTAAAATGAATTTAACAATTTGTTACTGTTGATGAATAGAATTTTGCTTCAGAGTCAGCTATTTTATGAGTGTAACATATTCCACCAAGGCAAGATCAGCATTCAATCAATTATCAAAAGTCTGGAAAGCAAGCAATTATGGTATCTCACTGCACATCGAGATTCGACTCTTTAACTCCAACGTCAAGTCTGTGCTCCTCTGTGGCTGCGAAACTTAGAAGACAACAAAGACAGTACTGAATAAAGTTCAGACTTTCATCAACAGATGTAGGAGGAGTATTCTAAGAATTAGGTGGCAGGATAGAATAAGAAATGAAGAGCTGGGGGAAAGGATATAGAAGTAGAAATAGGACTAAGAAAGAGGCGATGGATGGGACACACCTTAAGAAAGTGCCTAGCAGAAATATCACTGCAGTGGAACCCACAGGGAGCACGAGGCAGGGTTAGGCCCCAGGAAAAATGGAGGAGATGCATGGAAAGGGATATGAGAGAGATAAAGCTAAATTAGAACGAGCTTGGAAGGATGGCCCAGGACAGAGATAAATGGAAGGAGCTTGTATGTGGCCTATACTCTGCCAGGGGTGAAAGGCATTGATGATGATGGACATATTCCTACTGAACACTATCAGAGAAGTTGTGACTTGTGAGTGGCAGGCGCCCCATCAGCAAAGGAGTAAAGGAGTTGCTCTTACTCTGTTTGGATGAGGGACAGGGGTCTATTTATATCTCTATTTCTGTTTGTGGTCACTCAAATGTGAATGAATGTTTGAAAATCTAAAACAATGTTGATGGGTGTTTAGTTGGTGCTCTGGTGTGATTTGCTCCTTCTTTCTTATCAAACATCAATCATCCTTATCTCTCCTCATTCTTTTCTTTGTTTGTTACTCTCTAATAACACCTCTAACCTCCAGCTATGGCCTATTTGTGTTGCATGTGCTGTAAAACTCTTACTGAAACTAAACTAAAACCATGTTGTAATGTGCACTTCTTTGTTTCTTTTCTCCAGACACAAAGTGATTCCTAAGCTGATAGAACAAAAGTATCTGAAAGCTATGGATGGACACTAAGCCGGTTCTCAGTTGACACTTGCTCCTTACAGATGGGGAAGATGTCTGCCTGTAAAGGGCCTCGAAGGAAAATCAGAACCACAATTTTTAAGATGATTTCTTTAATGGTTAAAAAAGGATGATATCCAATGAAATGCAACTGTTCTGAATTTTATATTCCTGCAAAAATTGTTTCAAGGAGCTTTTTATTTCCCATGTAATATCATTTGCATCTGAAGTAGTAGTGTATAAATATTTTCATTCAGTTGTTTGGAAAATCAAAACTAATACAAGGAGATTGTAGTGCAGCACATTTGTGTATTTCAGTTGTGTGTTCTTGTTGAGCAGTTTCCTTTTGTCTTTCCATTGTATTATTATAAAAGCCTAAATTTATCTGAAAAAATGTTTTTGCTTGCTTTTTTATTTGGCATTTGAACAAATAAGATTTTATGATATCCCTGTCCACTGAAAACTGTGAATAACACTTATTTTTTTCAGTCATTTTTGGACACACACAAAACTAAATAAGTGCACAATACGTTTCCTTTTGACATGTTGGTCGAGAGTGGACATTATAACTTTCACCTTTCAGAGTCCCATTGTATGCTGCAAACTCATAGAGTAAAGGTATTTTTATCTGGATAGGACATTTGATATTTGAGTATTTTGTTATGTATCTCTTCAGTAGCAGGGGGTAAATTATTGCCATATGTCCCAATACCATTTGCTGTGGGCAGCCGAATTGCACCACATGAGATTTCTCAAATAATGTAGGACATGCACACATCATAAGATGGAACCAGAAAACAAGCCTTTAGCAAGATTCCAAGCAGTTTTTGCCTACAGATTAGACTCCTTTTATGTTGCCTATTCATATATTTTTTTCCATCTTACCTCACCATAACTCAGTGACATCTATCAAGATGCGTATTACCTTAACATATCATATTATCATTTTCAAATACGTGTGAAATGACAGCTGTCACCTGCAATATGTGTAACAATACAACAAAGTGAGTCACATTTTGACAATATAATGCAATGGGTATCAAAATAAAAATCTGTTCAGACAAACCCAACACATGGGACGAAAAACAATATTAGTGTAGTTGCTTCGGCTCTGAAAGTTATCTATAACCACTTGAAGTTGCTGAGTCAGAAACACATGGTTTAGAGTAATTCGAGGTTTTACCCAGTATCTTGCAACAGCAGAGTCAAGCAATTCATTTGTTGCATTATTACACATATTATAATGTTTTGTGTACTTATACATCCTATGACTTCCTTTAGAGGTTACATCTTTCCTAAGATGAGAGGAGTCATGTTGTTCACCTTTGTAATTTTTTTTGTAATTCACAGGGATAACAATTATTCATGTCCAATGAAATATTGATTACTGTACATATATATATATATATATATATATAAAATGGTTACATGTACAGTCGGGTACAGATAGCAGGAACATGGAAAACTCGAAATCATGGATAGCTCATACAGTTTGCCATTCCCCAACTGTTATCTCTTTAATGTGTCATTATATCAGTTTACCCAAATTATGAATGTGCCAGAAACATTTGTTGATCCCTGACTTGTTTGAATTATCCATGCCCGACTCTATAACAGTTCTGTTAGCAACACAAATAATGTTTTGCTATATCCCCTTGCTCAACAATAGTGATGTATGAAGTCATCAAAGTCCCCTTATGTGTGAGATGCAAAAACATGTATTTGTATTCCTCAGAGTTCTATAAATATTATGATACATTATCGTGGGCTATTAATTATCTGTTTGGAGAATGAAAATGTTCTCTGAAATACAAAAGTAAGACTTAATGATAATTGTGAATCGGCATATTTTTCAAATCACTTAAGAAGTAGCCTAACTATAAATCCTTACACCATCCTCAAAGACAAAGGAGTTTGTTTTCTCCTATAGTAGCAAGTGCAAAACACAAATTTTTGTTTTCAACAGATGAATGTAAATTAAAAAATTGTCTTTACAGTCAGAATATTGTAATATCATACCTTAATACTGGCTTTTTTAGGGAAATTTTTTGCTGTCAAAAATATAATTTGTGTTTGGAAAATCAAACCAATAGCAACATAATGAGATACAGAAAATGAGAACCACCTTCTGGTCATGCCTTAACATTAACATGACAGCTTTTGTGGAATTCTGACCTGCCAGATAATTTTATTATACTCTGAGATTTCTTTTCAAGTGCCACATTTGAAACTGATATCCACAGTCATAGTTCCCCACTCATTCCTCTTCTAGGATCCTGGTCTTCCTGACGCCCATTTGTTCAAGTTTTCAAAGTAAATTTTTCTGAGATTCTGTATTGTGTTATTTTTTTCACTCTGCTAAAGGACTGATGATTGGTGATCGAAATTTAAAGCTCTGGCTAAACTTTGAAACCTCACCTTATGTGACGGTATGTAGAGAATTGACACTGATGGACATTTGAGGCATTAAGTTGCTTGATGGGCTTTTATCTAATGCATCACCATCAAGATGTACACATATTTTTGGTCAGTTCCGTTTGAATAACCAACCTTCTCTTGAAAAAGATATCAATACTGAAATGTGAAGCACCTGACTTTTTTGTGCATTTATTCATTTGTACTAATTATGTAAAAACTGTACATAGAAGGGTTGATGATACTGTAGGTTTGTTGTGAGTATCATGTAGTAGCGTTCCACATACGAGACGTGTGATGTTTTAAGCCCATTCCATAATCTTTGTGAGTTAGATGTAGGCTAGGGACAGATAGGTCTATTTTCTCTTCAACGTAAAGCTTGGCTTCAAAACTGTGGTATGTGCATTGTAATTTATAGAGTTTCAAACATCCAAGTGTTGTCAGTACTCAGCAATCAAAATGAGATTGTCAAAGTGGTATGCCTCAACTGCCTTAACAGTGTAGGCCTATGCCATTCTATTCTCTGTAATTTTTTTCATTTCAGCACCCTTTGAGGTCTTGTCAGGAAATTCAGTTAATCACTGATAGTATATCTGTCTCCGCAGATTTTTGCACAAAAAAATTCTGAAATTATACAAACTGAGCCCAAAAATGTGAAATTATGCGATTCTGTTAATTTTAACAAAGAATGATAAAGGAAAATAATCAGAAATTATGCAAAAAATGATCAAATTTTGCCAAATTATTCAGGGTGCATAAAACCCTGGGGACAGTTATATTTTCAATTGTTTACCCATTTTATTTATTCAAGTGGCTTGCCTTATGTTGAATATGCAATCGGATAATACAGTAAGTTGATTTTTTTTAATCTATTGAAGAAAAATCCACCTTATTTACTTTTTTTTTTCTGTAACAAAATTTTAACTGAATCTGGAGGAGTGTTATTGTCTAGAGAAGAATTTTTGATACAGTGTACAACTTACTTGAAAGATGAGGAAGAGAAACAAATATTTTTATAGAAAAAAAAATCATAAATAGAAAAGTTTCAACTCTGTTTCACTTTCAAATTTGAACAATAAGCATAAGAAAAAAGAAATAACAAGATGAGAAGCTGGAGTAAAAGCTGAATGAGACTGCCTTGACATCATAAATAGATACATTATAAAACTGACTTAAATGAACATTACATTTTGATACAACGCTTGGTGTATAAAGTATGTATCTTCTTTGTTACGGTTCTCATCGTAAGTTTAAGTTTTTTATCAGGATCTGCCTAGAGTTGAGTAAGAGGAAGGACTAGAAATGAAAATGCAGTGAGTACCATATGTATCAAGTCCATCAGAATGGACAGCCCAAATGATTTTGTCTCAAAGTGAAAGGTTCTGTCATTTATATGATGGTGGTCAAACCCGAAAGAGTTTAGCTGTTCTGTTTTTTATGTGACTGAAAAGCTGGAAAACTGGATTCATTTTAAAAAAATTAAAAACAATACTTATGGTTTATCTTCATGTGTTGTAAAATCAAATTAAACCTACTTAAATGCCAACTAGTGTGTTTTCAATCCACCCTAATGATCTGATAACACCCTTCAGATTTTTATAGACCTTGTAAATAGAAAGATAGATGTATTCTGAAGTGCTTTTTCAGTGTAGTAATTTCATTTACAATATATCTACATTATGTATCTTAAACTTTCCTCTAATTAATACATTCTCCAACAGTTTTGTAGCAATCATATAAATCCCCCAAGTTGTATTTCTTACCTCTAGAAATGTCTGGATAATCTTGATGCAGGAAAAATAATGTAGGCTATTGACAAAAAGTGGTAGTCTTTACTCGAATGTTTGTTGAGTGCCATTATTGCTAACTACATATAATTATTATGTACGTTAGGTGAGCATAAACTCTGTTCTTGTGTACCGGGCTTTCATCAATGTAGAAAAATACCTATAGAGATGAAGCAGCTTACTCACTGCCTGTTTTCTTGTTGACTTGCTTGAGAAAAGAGCCAATAAAAACACAGGCATGGTACATGTGCAGTCTCCATTGTAATAAAAAAGGCATGAATCTAATCTACATTTTATAATCATATGCATTAAAAACAATCTTATTCAGTGTACTTAATAATATAATACATAAATGACAATTTCTTTGAAAGAATCTCTTTTATCAGAAATTGATATGAGCAGACTAAAAGTAAACCAAAGTCCGAAAAACTCTTTTCTTACTAATGCTGTATATTTTCTTCTGTACAGTGGAGTCTTAAGTCTCATTCTGAAAGAAATGGCATGTTTTACTTATTTTGTACATTTTGATCAGAATAAAAATCAATTCACCTTTTGTCCATTTCAATTCATGAACTGCAAAATAATGTTCTTTTTCCTTCACAATATTATTATTGACGTCACTTTTGAATATACTGTACCCTTTTAATGGACTTATGTTATGAATGAACTACTTTATACATATTTTTCTACTTGTATTACCTTATTATTATTATTATTATTAGACATTTTCTTCTCTGCAGATGCATTGGTCGTCATTAGACAGTGAGGGAAGAACTATCAATATCACTACCGGTATCATTATTATCAATATTTTACAGGACAATGCAGGTCAATTTTTTATCGACATATTCTATTTTCAATTATAAGAGGGATGAATTGTGGTTGTGAGAATTACTTTGTTCATCCCAGTATTCCACCTGTTGAAATAAAAGTAAGGAAAGCAGTCGGACGGTGCTGCTGGTAAAATGTATTTTTTTCTTATTTTCTTTCCCACTGTTGATTTTGTCCTGTCTGTATGTCTTGCTCTTTCACTTCAGTGAGCAACCCGTCAAACATGTACCTCAGGCATAATTTTAATATCCAGAATTATTTAGACAATCATGGCCAACTTTATATGAAAAGTCAAATTACAGGAAATTGATGAATGAAGTATTTAGAATTTAACAGGTCCACGCGTGTGATAGTCAAGTGTAAATTTTTATACAACAGTTTTTCTCAAGTTTTATGTATCTAACTTTAGGCCTGCATTAGACAGGCCCATCGAATAGAACCACAAAATTAGGCCTACTTCTCAATTTTTAATCAAGCCTTAAATAATAGTCATCCCAACACTGAAGCATTTTCAATCAAATTTCCTTCTAGATCGACTTTAAATTACTCTTATTTTTTTTTTTATGTTGCATGAAGCCTCAGTTCATGCAACAATGTCTCAGATATTTCATGTACATGGAATCATATTCTTTATGCAGAGACTACTCATACCATAAAAAAAAGAATGTCACATCTTTGTCTAGGTTGAGAAGTTTTCTATGCGTGATTAAAAGAAAAACCCAAAGTTTCCTCATTCGTTATCTCTGGTAAAGCATAAAGCAGACTACATGATGTAGTTTACACATGTTTGCCATGACTAGATGATAGATGTTGAGAAAGCTTTCCTTTTCTTACTCTTTAGAAACATGGTGGTAAATAACCAGTTTAGAACAGAGATCATGAATTGGCACACTCAAATTTTTGGGTTTGGTACATTAGACGGCATGTAAATTTTCTGAATAATTACATCTTTGTTCTTGTACTTACAGGTACTTTGTACCATCATGGAAGTTTTTTTTTAAATCCATATAGTAAATATTTGCGTGTGTGTTGCAACATGGTGGAATCAGGCGCTGGTCAATTTTTGGGCACTGCAGATTTATATTTTTTATGCCTTTGTTCAATGCTTTTCAGTAAAATCTTTACAGAATAGAAATTGTTCTACGGCGGACATTAAAGATGTTGAGTAAAAAGATATGATGGATAAAATTGCCGAACAAGTGGAAAAATGTTGGTTTCTTTGATTTCATTTATTTTGACTAGTGCCTGATTTCACCTTGATTCTATACACACAAACAGGTATACATTATAGATACATACATATAATATACTCATTTCATATGTATAGCTTATTGTCAGCATTTCTGTTTTGATTTTTTAAATATTTTTTCGCAAAGATAGATCTAAATCTTTAACGTAAATAGGAAATATTAATGTCTTTAAGACTATAAGTTTGTGACAAAATGTTGCTGGGGGACTTGATTTTGTTTGTGCATATAGGTTGGGGTTTTTTTGTTTTTGTTTTCTGGGACAGGGTTGGGGGTGAGGAGTATTTGGTTGTTTTGTTGTGAAATATTATACTACACACAATAAATGTTTAATTCTTTTATTTTTAAAGAGTTTATGAATGCTGATACTGATATGCATCTTTTTCTAGATTGTCCTGTTTTTAAAACAAAGTGAAGCAATCCAGGAACTGAACAATAGCTGCTGGAAGGCAGTCAGTACCATACCCCATTGATGTAAATAAAGATGTATGATTTAATTCTTTATTGAATTTGTATTCTACTCAAGATGATTTGTCAATTCATTTGTACAATGAAACGATTATTTTTTGTAATATAATCATTGCTCATACTGAGAAATATACAATATAAATAAATAAAATTTGATAGCTACAAAAAAAATGTTGTTACATTTTTTTTTAACCCAAAGAGAAAAAATTCAAACACTTATAATTATAATGTCTCACTGAGAATGAGAAGACGGTAAGAGATTGCATTTATATAGTGCTCTATCCCTTACAGGTAGCCTACAAGGTCTGAGGGCTTATTCCATTGTAAGAATAATTTAATATATGTTTCATGCCCCCATCGACACACTTAAGATCATTTGGTTGCTTTTAAGCACAAGGGGGCTATCCCGAAAAATGCTGTTTTGAGAAAATTGAATGTAAAGTTTTTGCCCCTTGTTCAGTTTCTTTAAAAGACCAGGAGAGTTTTTTCTATAACCAACCAAATATACACATCAATGAAACCAATAGTATAGGTAGGACAATGCCTTCTTATGGTGTAGGTTAAGATTTCTGGAAACCTCCGAAATCTGGGTTAGCCTGCTGGTCCTTAAAAGCGACCATTTAGGATGTGACTGTGAGCTGCTTCGAACCTGACTGTCTGCACTAATTTGGGCAGAGTTTAAACTTCCCTGCCAGGTATAAAACTCATGTCTTCTTCATGCAATGATAAAGAGCCTGACTATTACAGCTCAGAGCATCAGATGCCAATACAATGTAAGGAGGATGAAAACAGAGCAGACCGGCAAAAGGAAACGGAGAAGACCAGACAGGAAGGTTGTTGCCTTGGAGGACAGTATGTCAGTATTTAGTGGACAAAGGGACAGAATGGGGCACATGCAGTTGATTTGTGGATATAATCACTTTTTTTAGTACATGTAAAGATAAGCACATTTGATGATTATGGTCATTTAGGGCAAGAAAAGTCAGACAGACGGACAGGAACAATAGTGGAAACAAAACAAGGACCTGCTAGTGATGCTTTTCAACCACCAACTAATAATAACCTCTGATGATCAATTATGGGGAAGAGTGAGACAGTTGATAAAGAGACAGGACAACGAGTCTGACCAACAGTTGCAAGAATGCGGGATCGATCCCCCAATTCAGTGGGGTTTGACATAGCATATTGCACTACACATCCTTGATTTTATTATCACCCACCCTGAGCCAATTGCGTTGTTTGTGTATTTGTTTATTTTGTTTGAGTAAAGAGAAGCATATTGATAACAAAATAACAGTCATTTAGTGCCAGGAAATAGCAAGACAGTTAGCCAAGAACAATAGAGGCAAAAAAACATAAGTAAGACCTAACTAGCACACCCGCTACTTACCCCTCATCTTGTTAACTCAAGCAAACACATTTTTTTCTCCACGGAATGTAAAGGAACAAAGTAAGAAATTTAAAGAACCTTTATTCAAAATTACAAATAATTATGTAACATTATGCGTAAACAGTAATTCTTTGTTGGGAATAAAATATAAACCTGAATGCACCAAACCAACATACGACCGAGTCAGTTCAGTAAAGCACAACAATTAAAGCTCTTTTGGAATTTGTCTCCATTGTCACAGCATGAGAAATACATGCAGAAAAATTTTGCAAATACTGCACAATGCAGATTCACACAAAGAAGAAAGCAAAGCAATGTGTTTTTGTTGTTTTTTCAAATTTCGAGAAAGCCTGGGTGGTCATGATCCATGAAATTCACCTTGAGGATATGACAAAAATGTTCAATCTTTTAAGACTAGTATGTACGTATCCTTATGTTAAAACCCTTCTCATTGTGAATTCCAAGTCTCTCACAATCGCTTTGTTCACATGTGAGTCATAAATGCATGATGTCACCAATGGTAGCAGGAAAAGAACAGAAGATGCAACAGAATGCCAAATATTTTCTTTTCCAGAAACAGCAATGACCGAACATTCTTCATCAGAGTCAGAGGGAATGAGAAAAAATCAATCATTGGAAAAAAGTCCAACCAGATCATTTAGAAGTATGCACAACCTGAGCTAAAAACCACTTCAAAGGGCACGTAAAAAAAATTGTTTTCATTTTTTAAATTTTCAATATTAATCATTGTTTTGCTCACTGATCTTCCATTTTCATGACAGCTGAATGATGCTAAATTATTTTACTGCACTATCAAAAATTTTTTTTTTTCATTTAATTGTAAAGAAAAGAATTTTATATATATAAAGATTGAAAAATGTAGAGAGTACCTCAGATCTTATTGCTGAAGTCAATGGTCACAGACTTCATCTTTTAGTGTTACAAGATCAAAGAGACAATACGAGAAAGTAGCAACGCTCTGTCCTATTTCACGTAGTTACTGTTGTCACGAATGAGCTAAAAAGGCCAACAATAGATAAAACTATTCTAAATGCATGCAATGATATGGAACTAAGTATCTCATCAAAGGGAAACTTTTAATAGTGCAAGTTCAAATACCTGGATAGCAAGTAAAGAAATAATGACACAGAGAAAGAGTGACAGCTTCTATTTTCAAAAACCTGACTTACACCTTTCTTCAAATATAACACACTTCCGTAAAATAAGTAACAGTTCTCATCTTACAGATTCACTCATATAATTTCTTCAACATCTCAAACAAAGACATTGAAGCTTTTTGGCTCAGGAATTCTCAAAAAAAGACTAGTAAGGTTTGCTAGAGACTCATGTGAAAGTTTTTTTTAAAAGAAAGAAATATGTGCAAAAGACACCTCTTTGATCTTCCAAGATCCCTTGTCATCCCAATATTTCAAATGTATAAGAAATGTAAAAAAATAAAAAAATAATTAAATAAAAATCAACTGCATATCACAAATAAAATTAATTTACATGCTGACAAACTTGCCAATGAAATGGCTGGGACTGCCATAAAACATTTATGCAAAGCAAATTGAGAATTGGGGCAAAAAAGGTCCTCAGAATAGTTACCAGAGAAAGTACTGGATTTAAAGAGAGAAAAAAAGAAATATTAGTACATTAGTTTCACCACCACAGTGAATGATTTTAATCTTGAAAACTTGAAAAGAAAATGTATTTGAATAGAGAAACCAAGCGTACCAACAAAAAAACCAAAAAAACTTAGGACAAAATGCAAGAAACAAGGGTCCAATACATAATGAATGCCTCCAATACCGTGGTGCCCAGCTTGTGGCTATCAGACTGACCCTTATACAAAGTGTTCAGACTTGACAGACAGGGAAGACCCTTCTCTTTGTACATAAAAATGCAGTGACTGGCAAACCCATTGGGTGAACTTTTTAAAGCAATATTTAAGTGGAATTCTGCAGAATAAACAAAAAATACATGTACACATACAGCTTTGAGCACCAAAAATATACATTTTTTGGAATTGAGGAATACTTGACGTAAATCTACAGGTAGATACAGAGAGAAAAACGTTAATGTTATACAAGACATGGGTTCCTACAACCAAATTATGCAAAACAAGCACCTTACTTTCAATAAAAAGATGTCACATTTTATTTTCAATTTGGGCAACTTATCACACACAAAAAAACATATTGTGAGAAAGCAAAGACATTTATTTAAAACTACCACACTGGTAATAAACCAGTGTAGTGTTAGCAAATACCATGTTAATGGACACTTTGCTTCAAATGACTTCAGATTCATAATGAATCTTTACAAGCAACACATCAGAGAGATGCTAGCGTTAGTCTTCATGAAATACATAAGTTGATTCAGCTATATATATTCAAGACCCATCACCACAAGTAAAAAAGTATTAGACAGATCACTGATCTGTAGAATGCACAGAAGTTTGGAAATTCATCAAACAGCACCATTTCACTGACCAGAAATGACAACTGAAAGTGAAAGACAATACTGATACTTTGCAACCCTGAAAACATAGAGCTATGTGATTACAACTCTGTGACGATTTAAAAATCATCTCAGAGGGAAAATTATGTTTGACAATTATTAAAGATGTATGAAAAGAGGTTTCATTGGTGTAAGTCTCAGCAATGTGTCTGTTTCGCCAAATTCAGTTAAAACTGTGGCACCCAAACCTGGAATAAGCTCAGATTACAAAGAAGGAAAAAAAGAGAAAAGAAATAGGAGAGGAGCAAAGAAAGGGGAGACAAAGAAGATACAGTGGAGGAGGAGGAGGAAACTAAGAAATTGAAGGGGAGAATGAGAAAAAGGAGAAGGAAAAGGAAGATGAGAAGAACATTCTTTTGAATTCCACCCCCCATCCCCCCCCCCCCCTCCCCCGTCCAACAAGACTCCAATGCATTAGAACTTACACCAACAACACTTGCGAGGCTAACACACAATAACCATCTCTCATTCGGCAGGCTCTTCCACCAGCTTGTTGTGGAGCTGCATGAGTCCCTTGAAGTACTTGACTGTGCGGACTCTCAGCTCCATTGTAGCATCCTCATCACACAAGAATATTGTGCGTGGGTGTTGCTGGAAGGCGGAGACCGTCCACATGTGGTTCACACCCTCCTCGATGGCCTTATGGAGAGCAAACGCTTTGTGGGCTCCGGTGATCAGAATCATCACCTGAGGAAAACAAAAACTAGTTACTGGCATCTGTTGTTTAACAGTGATGCTTTTCAGGATTAATAGAGGCTTCTCATCAGCACCAATGCTGTAAAGGACAAGCCTTTTGCTGTTGCATACAGATGAAAGTTTGATTACTGAGAAAGGAAGTTTTTTTTAATCAAGTATCTGAGTCTGTCTGCAGCGGTGCTGTGTCCCACTCAGCCTGGGTTCTAAACGATCTAAATTTATGTTTATGGGGCATAAAACATTTATAGCACAGAAAAGAGAAATAAATAAATAAAATGCAAATCCAATTGCTATTAGACCCATACAAGTCAACGCCATGCTGTAGAAAACCAAATTCTCCATACTGATCAATAAAAGCAGAATTCTGTTTCATTTGTTAAATCTTAAGGTACAGGAGGCAGCTCCTCACACAAGGAATATATCTCATTAAATTTCTCCATTCTTATACTCAGATGTACCTCATACAGCCCTAGTTGGCGCCAACAGTCAAGTATGGAGTTTTTGGAAGTTCTAAAATCACTTAAATTGTTTGAAAGGAGGCCTACGACATTTACAACAGAAAGCACGATACAAAATGAAGCTATTACTATTGTGGTTTTCCTTCATTCCTTGCTCAGATGCTCTCAAAAAAGATACACTATCCTGAATTTTCCGCATCACACATCTGTTTAGGCTCTCTAAGTAGTTTGTTCTGAGCCTTACCCTCCTTCCTTTGCCTTCAATTTTGCCACTGAAGAGCAAATGAGTGAACAAACAAAAACAAATTATGCCACTGTTTACCTCGTCAGCATCCATGACAGTGCCGACACCGACGGTGAGGGCCTGTGTGGGAACTTTGCTGAGGTCGTTGCCAAAGAAACGCGCGTTGGCCTGGATTGTCTCCTGTGCCAGCGTCTTGACCCTGGTACGTGAAACCAGACTAGAGCCGGGCTCATTGAAGGCAATATGACCATCAGGTCCAATACCTGGCAGACAACAGGGGGAAAAAATTAGGAGTAAATATGATTGATTATAGAAATAAACATAAAATACCACAATCACTGATCACTATGGGAAAAATTGTGCATCCATAGATAGTTCTGCCCATTCATAAAATAAATAAACGAAAAATTTTCATTTAGATGATCTAAAAGTTATAAACTTTCATGATATATATATATATATATATATATATACACATAACAATTTTTGATTTTTTTAAATAATGAATATTTTTCTCTCGTTCACTTAGGTTTCAGTTGCCATCAAAAGAAGCACCAAATAGACAAAAAGGTCTAAAGAACTTTAGGTCTCAAAAAAAAAAAAAGTAAAGCAGATTACAAATGCATGTTATAATACCATCAAATAACCAAAAAATATTGGGGGGGGGGGGGCTCAACACCTTTAATGCCCATTTCAAAACACATTTTTGTGTGGAATTTACTGAAAAACATCGATTAAAGGCACAAAAAATGTAATTTTCAGTTTCCAAAGACTCTCAGGCTATGGAAGTTACCAAAGTTTGTAAACCATTTTCTCGCTAGTTTTATCTCTTAAACTGGATGATCCCGACCTACTTCAGTTCAAAATATATCTCCTTTTGTATTGAAGTTAGATGGGTAATTTTTTTCATCGAAAACAAGACAAATGAACATGCTTTAAGATGATCCCAATAACTCAATATGCCCAAAAATTGACGAGTGCCTAATTCCACCACTTTGGGACAAAAATCGTTTTCACTTTTAAAAAGCCACAACAATAACTAGGAAAGAAAAAGAGTCGATCTGCTCAGATCTTACAAGTCCCAACATAAAACTCAAAAAGGTATCAGAACCAAACAAAAAACTCTGAAGTTTCTAAGTCTGTTAAGTGTATACTCACAACCTAATTGTTTCCAAATAATTACCTAGCTCTAGAGATAGAGGAAGCAAATTTCAGAATTAAATCTTTGTCAAACTTAGTGAGCTCTTTCAATAACACACACACATATTTCACTATTTGAAAATCATCTCTCGTTGCGAACAGTTTCTAGCTCAAAATGAATACTTCCAATCAAAAATTCAAAATGAGGTATGAGAAAGTCTTTGAAATAAATATTAGGCATTATTAGGTAATAACCACCTATACAAAAAGGACATCTAAACATAGTGTAGTCAGGAAATTTGAGTGGACTCCGACAGCAAGCAAAAGAAAATCAGCACAGGTCTTCTTTGCTTGTCATAAATACTATTTAAATTGTCCAAGACGGTCACCCATTGTCAAGGAGAAAAGTGGTTGTCGTAGACAGGTTGACATCTTAAACATTATAGTAAGGCAGAGAGGTGAAATCAATCGCTCAGCAAAATAATGAAATCGAAGAAATCAGCATTTTATTCGGTTGTTTGTCAACTTTTATCAAATTTTTGTTATTTGGCTCAAGACCTTTTAAATGCATTCAAAAACACATTTCTGTGAGGACGTTTACAGAAAAACGTTGATTAAAGGTACAAAAATGTAATTTTACAGTTTCCAGGAACTCTCAAGCTTTGAAAGTCACCTAACTTTGGCAGCCATTTTCTCGCTAATTTTACCTCTCAGACCAGGCAACCCCATCTCCTTCAATCACAAATACATCGACTTCTATTCAGGATAGATGAGAATTTTTTTTCATCAAAAGCAAGACAAATGAACAAGCCTTAAGACAATACCAATAACTCCAAAGAAGCAAAGGTGAGATCACCAAAGAAAGCCTTTATGGATGATGTGACCCTACTGACAAGAGATGGAGACACAATGCAAAGTGTGTTGAATCGGCTCGATAAGCTTATCACCTGGGCCAGGATGAAGTTTAAAGCTAAAAAGTCTAGAAGCCTGACTATTAACAAAGGAAAACAGAAGCAACTGAAGTTCACAATTGCAGGGGAGCAAATGCCCACAGTAAAAGAACAACCCGTGAAAAGTTTGGGTCGGTGGTACTCAGGAACTCTGTCTGATAGGAGTCAAGGCGTGGAAATCATGAAGCAGGCTGAAAATGGGCTGAAAGCAATTGACCAAAGCTTCCAGGAAAGCACAAGATATGGTGTCTACAGTTTGCCCTCTACCCTCGATTGGCGTGGCCACTGACAATGTATGAAGTTGCTTTGTCAAGAGTTGAGATGATCGAAAGAAAGTGTAACAGCTACATCAGGAAGTGGCTGGGGCTACCCCGTACCATTAACACGTCATCCCTGTACAGACATAGAGGTGCGCTTCAACTACCTCTCACGTCAATTGTGGAGATCTACAAAGCAGGCAAGATTAGAACCGTTTTGATGTTGAGAGAATCAAGGGATAAGGAGATCAGTGGAAAACCTCCAGATGTCAAAACAGCCAGAAAGTGGAAGGCAGAAGTTGCAGCTAACGAGATCATCTCTGCATTGGAGCATGGGGACATTGTCGGTCCAGCGCAACCTGACAGATTAGGGCTAGGTAATGGCGACTTTAGACCTTTCAGGAAAATGTCTCAGCGAGACAGAAGAAAAGCTGCAACAAGACATATGCAAAAGATGGAGGCAGAGAGGCGAGAAATTCATCTCATCCAGTGTAGCCAGCAAGGACAAATGACCAGATGGGAAGAGCATGTTGTGGAAAGAAAAGTCGGGTGGAGTGACATCTGGAAGTGGAATACATCAAGGCTGAGCTTTCTTCTCCGGTCTACGTATGATGTTCTGCCTTCACCGGTGAACCTTGTCAGATGGAAGGTACAGGAGGACAACAAGTGTAGATGCGGTAAGCTAGGAACCATGAAGCATATTTTGTCAAACTGCAACTTAGCTCTTAACAGATACACCTGGAGACACAACGAGGTGTTGAAAGTGCTCACGAAAATGGCGACACAACAGGTGGAAGAAGGAAAATATGCCCCCAAGATACAGAAGCATGGACCCACCAAAATTGCGTTCGTTTCGCAAGGAAGCAAGGTTGCCAAAAGAAAGAAAGCGAACGAAGCCATGAAAGACCAGAGCGGAGGCACATGGGAAGTAGCTGCTGACTTAAAAGGCTTTGAGAGATTCTTCCCCATTCCAACTACGAAAAAGCCAGACATTGTGTTATGGGAGGAAAAAGACAAAGAGGTACACTTGGTAGAGCTCACGGTGCCCCACGAGGACAATATCTATGCCGCTCATGAGCGGAAAGAAAACCGTTACGAGGCACTCGTCGAACAATGTGAGGAGGCAGGATGGAAGGCAACCCATTTTCCGGTAGAGGTAGGATGCAGAGGTTTTGTAGCAACAAGCGCCCGTAAGTGGATGAGAGTGGCAGGACTTACTGCAAAGAAAAGCAACGAACTCACAAACTCCCTTCAGGAGACAGCAGAGAAAGCCAGTCATTGGATCTGGTTGAAGCGAGAGGACTCAAGCTGGAATGAATCCTAAAGTTGGCAGCAGAGGAAAACAGTCGAACTAACATGGAGACCTCACATCGGTGAGGGGGCTCGGTGCGTCAGAAAAGCTGTAGAGAGGAAGAGCCCGAAACAGCGACGCATTCTCTCCTGATGATCTCCATGCTAGAGTCCGGGATACGGAGCGTTCGACGGTGAGCAGTGCATACGGCTGTTTAGACTACGCACATGCTCAGAAATTGATGTGGTGATACATATAGGAAGAACACATGGGGGAAAGTCGTTTGGGTAGGCGATTGTGTTGGACAGGCGGTCCTTAGAGCAGGTTCAACTGTACAACACAATGTGTGTATACATGAAAACTTGAGTATACTCAAAAATATGACTCTTGTAGCTGAATTCTAGCAAACACTATTCTTGTCACACAAGTCTGTAGCCAATAGACCAAGAATAGATGAGCAACCTAATCACCTTACATGACACGAAGTACAGTTGAACCTGTGCAAGACGGCCACCCAATGTCAAAGATAAAAGTGGCCGTATCAGACAGGTGGCAGTCTCAGGCAGGACTGATCAAGATGAGGAAAACAAACCATTCCTTTCTGAGGTCCCAAACTGAAGGTAGCCCTATTGTTGTTGTTGTTGTTGTTGTTGTTGTTGTTGTTGTTGTTGTTTTCGCTGCGTTTTTTTTGTTTTTTTGTTTTTTGTAGCTGCTTTTGAGCAAGGGTGACAATAAAACAAAGTGTGTCAGACAAAGAGGACAGAGTGCTATGGTAAAACAAACACATGGGACGCAACCACTCGGGGAACAAGCGGCGCTTCTGTCACAATTTCATTTTGACGTCCATTTTTACTTTGTGACAGACTGGGTAAACAGTGACCACTCCTCTCACTTACGATTTGTGTATGAGTTCTGGGTGGGGCTTATGGGTTATGAGTGAGACGTGCTGATAATGAGTTTTGGTTATGAGGGATCACACGCTTCCCTCACCAGCAGCTGAAAATGTGTTGCCTATTGGCCAACAGTGGAAGAAGCCTATGCAAGATATCGGTTGGAGGGATTACGTAACAATAATAACAGGGGAATGTATTGTGACGGCTCGCCCACAACACCAGGGGCCAATGCATGATTTATGATAAAATGTAAGGGAGTCACTAAGGTGGCCGTCTTAGACAGGTGTTATTGTTTGGTGTTATAGGGGTTGTGTGTTAAAATAAGGTGGCCGCGGCCAAGTTAGACAGGTGCCTGTTTTACACAGTTAAATTATATAGAAAAAACGCAAGAGGGGAAATGGAAAGTGGTCGTTTGTACAGGTGGTCGTCTTATAGGGGTGGCCGTCATGGCAGGTTCAACTGTACAGTCAAACTTGCATTGGCCACCACCTGAATTAACGACCACTTCTAACTTTCGCCCCTGGCGTTTTTCCATTCCATATGATGACACTGCCTATAATGACCACCTGTCTAACGCGATTGCAACCACTATATTTTTATCAACCATGTCAGTTTTAAGAAAGCTATCAACCACACAAATCTCCCATCATCTAAAGAGTTGCCATAAAGTCAGTTCAAAACGCTATGGACAAGCTGTCATAATGCCAAACCTCATTATCCCCTCCTTCCTCCAAAAGAAAAAAAACCACTTTAATGGGTCTAACGAGGAAAAATGTGATATTAGACAGGTGGATGTCATAGGCAGAATAGATGTAAATGAAGAGGAAAAAACATTTCTTTCTGAAGCAGCAGTTTAATTTTGCACTGGGTGAAGTGCATCATCTTGTGTCTGTTCATGAACCAAACCAAGTCATAATGGTAACATATTTCATATTGGGCCCATAAACATACAAAAATAATAAAACATTTCCTGTTATGAATCTGTTAAGGAGGAGGAGGAGAAGGAAGTGGAGGATGCGGAGGAGGAGGAGGAGGAGAAAGAAGTGGAGGATGTGGAGGAGGAGGAGGAGGAGGAGGAGGAGAACAACAACAACAACAATAACAACAACAAGAAAAAATCACATTAACTGCGACAGTTCTCACCTCCAATGAATAAACGAATTCCCCCTGCCTCTTTGATCATCTTCTCGTAGTTGTCGCATTCTTTTTCCAAGTCAGCAGCATTTCCATCCAGGATATGTGCGTTAGAAGGCTCAATGTCAATGTGTTTGAAGAAATTGTCCCACATAAAGGAATGATAGCTCTCGGGGTGGTCCCTTGCAAGCTCTGACAAAAAATTAAACAAAATAATAAAAATATATGTGTGCCCTTTTTCAAATCAGGAATTTCAATAGGTTAGGAATGTCAAAGTATTTATTTCCATCAAAAACATGTCAATGCCCACTACTAAATAACAAAGGCGCCAACTTGAAACTCCATAAATCTGTCTACACATATCAGGTCCCGGGTCAATAACATCAACATACCTCCTCATGACACGATAAGAAAAGAAATATAATGAAAATTTTAAACACTACAAAATTAAGTTTGCCACAATATAAAAAACAAAGTATACAAACCTACCAACATATTCATCCATGTTGAAAGTCTTCACATATTTAAAAGATAGCTTCCCAGCCTTGTAGAACTCAATGAGCTTGCGATACATCCCAAGAGGAGTGCTCCCTGAAAAGTACAAATAAAAATAAAATACTAAATAATATATTCAATATCAGCAAGAATAAAACTTTTTATGAGAGTAGTAAAAACGAAAACTAGTGGCTATAGAAAAAAAAAACCTAAAGAAAAGTAAACTGTATCCAACCATCAGGTCTTCTACATATCTCCAAGATCAGTTTTTGAACCATCTTCTGATAATCTAAGTCACATACGTAATTAACTTAGATAATTTCCATTCTTGTACCTCCAGTAGTCCTAAATACTCCACCCACTTTCTAAAATCAGAAGAAGAAAAAAAGACACCTTCAATGCACATCAAATATGTGTGTGTGCTGCAGCTAAATTCTGAGTGGCTAAAAAATAACTGCTTAATTTTTATACATTTTGGGTCGTGGGTTTGAAAGCATCAATTCATTTACCTGTCAGGAAGCAAAACAAGACAAAACTATGCAGAGAGACAACAGAGCAAGGCTCATACAGAGGGACAGATAATGAAGAGTAAACATGTAGGATTTATCCTTGCAGAAAGATGTAGATGTGCAAAAAAATACCTTTAAGTGTGAATCAAATTTAAGTCGTTCACATGTGAGGCAAAGAGCCTCCATCTGTCACACCAGGGACACCAGCCAGCCACAGGGCTGGTGATTTTTTATTTTTTTTTAATAAAAATTTTAAAAATCGATTTTTTAAATTTAAATCAGATTTTTTTTATTTAAGTCGGATTTTTTTTATTTTTTTGATTTTTTTTAAAATGTCGACACAGTTTGGGATTTTTGGTGGCTAAAAGTATGTTCTTTTAGTGCAAAATGCATTCTCTTTATTTTAACTAATGATCAATTTAAACAACTGCAATTTTAGAAAGCCTTAATCTGCTATCAGTGAATTATGGCTACAGACAAAAAATGAAGAAAATGTCAGTCTAAAAGGAAGGGGGGGGGGGGGTAATTATGCATAGATAAACTTGCATTTTATTTTTATTACAGTGTGTGTGTGAGCACGCGCTTGTGTTTGTCTAAAAAGAAAAAGAACATGCTAATTTCAATTATGAAAAAAAAGTAAATTGAATACTGTATTATTTTACTACTTACAGTGACAGGGGGGGAAAGCAGACTTTTAAACAATTTTAGTCTACTAAACCTTATATCTGTTTTATAAAACCCAGGAAAGGAATTCTGAATGTTTAAAGATGTAAAAACAGAAAACATTTTTTTAAAGTGATTTAAATTTTAAAAAATCAACTGATTTAAATCGACCCGATTTAAATCAACCCAACCCTGGTTTTCAATTATGAAAAAAAAGTAAATTGAGAACTGTATTATTTTACAGTGACAGGGGGGAAAGCAGACTTTTAAGCATGATTATATTAGTCTACTAAATCTTATATCCGTTTAAAATAAAACCAAGGAAAGGAATTCTGAAAGTATAAATATGTAAAAACTGAATACATTATTTTGAAAAGTGATTTAAATCACTGATTTTTATTTTTAAAATCAAATTGATTAAAAAATTTTTTTAATCAACTGATTTAAATCAACCCAGCTCTGGTTTCTCAATTATGGAAAAAAAAAGTAAATTGAATACTGTATTATTTTACAGCGAAAGGGGGGAAATCAGATTTTTAAGCATGATTATATTAGTCTACTGAACCTTATATCTGTTTTATGAAACCAAGGAAAGGAATTCTGAATGTTGAAATGTGTAAAAACTGAATAAAGATTTATTTTTTTTAAAGTGATTTAAATCACTGATTTAAATTAACCCAACCCTGGCCAGCCAGTCTCATTCCCTTAACCTAACGAGATCTAATGTCGTTTACAAGAGAAAATGATTTTTAAAATATGTATATGTAGGTTTTTGTATGTCACAGCCCACAGTATTTTGTTCCCGTTAAACATAGCTGCAATCCAACAGTAAACCTGGATGTTGTGCACTTGGTCCAGCAATTTGACATAATTGGCAACAATCTATTTTTACCAAGTAAACTTACAAACTTACCAGTTGGCAGACCCAAAGTGAACAGTTTTCCGGGCCCTGGGTGGAACTCGATGATTTTCCTTCTCACATATTTGGCTGCCCACACAGAGACTTCATCATATGTGTCATTGATCACCAAACGCATGATGAAAAGTTATAAACTGTGACAGATCCAAGCAGCCAAAAAATCAAACAATCTGTGGATCACATGAGAGTATCACAGTCAATGCAAGCAGCTAGAAATGAAGAGTCCAGATGAATTTGTAGTAAAACTAGGCCAACTTGTTGCTGAATGGATATACAGTCGAACCTGCCTTAACGGAAACCTGTATAAAACTGAAACCTGTCTTAACGGAATCTCCCCGCTCCCCTCTTGATATATTCCTCTTTAATTACCTGTATAAAACGGAAACGGAAAGAAAAATCCACTCCCTTCCGAGGGTTTCACTTGTCTAAGACAGAAAATGCTTTGCCCGCTCAGCCCTGATTTAAAAACAAAACTCGCAAGTTTGGTTCGGCCAGCTCTAAACTTAATGCTATGGCCATGCCCCTGGGCCAGGAAGGGGACTAGGGGTGCAATTTGGGGGTAGATGTTACCCCATCATGTGAGCCCTGAGCGATGCAGATGGTCAATGTAGTGTGGGTGGGAAATCTCACGACTGCCCGTGAGAGTGCTCGAGAAGCGAGCCACTATGGAAACTTTCCTGGGTAGCCAGATGCCAGAGGTGTGAAATTAAGATTGGCCAATACCTGCCGCCTTGATCATACGGCCAGCCGAGAAAAGAAGTCCTCGAATCATTGTTACAATGATGGAAGTGAGGGGTGGCACAAGTGGGTGGGGCTAAGGGTGGAAGCAAAGATGTTCAAATGTTTCTGTTTTTAATAGGTCAAACAGTGGTCCTATGAAAGGCAAGCACTGGTGGCAATTGGAGAAGTAAGACTGACGCATGTCATTATCAAACAGGATAGCAATCGAGAGGTGCGAAGTTTTGACCACTGCTTGCCGATCAGACAAGTGATCCTTGATCCCACCGGTTGGGCCTTTGAACCCCCCCCCCCCCTCCCTCCCCCAAACCTCCATCTCCCCCTAAATTCCCCTAAGACGGAATTTTTTTCTGGCTCCCTTGCGATTCCGTCTTACACAGGTTCGACTGTATATAGGGAGTCAGCAAGATAATGGACATTTTTCTTCTGATTTGCTTGTTTGAATACAAGTAAGCACAGAATGAACAAGTATGAATAAAAGCAAGGATTGAACAATTATAACAGCTATTTAGAGCTGGAAATTGAAGAACCTACCAGATGTCGCATCAGATCTGCATTTCTTCAAAAACAGATTAGGAAAACAAAGACTATAAAGAAGCACAAAGAGCACACCAGAGTGCCTATGAACTTCCCACAGAAATAACAATGTATAACGTATAATTAGCAACAGTAACAGAAAAATTATTATTCCAACAGTTTTGATTATAAAGACAATTTCATTTACTTTCAGTTTATATTAAAAAAGTATTGTACTTGAACAGTCAGCAGCTGATGTTCTCTCAAGGAAAATCCATTTATAAATATTCTAAAGAAAATCAGTTTTGTCATGATGGTGCTCAAGAAAATATGATAACAATACAAGATTGTTCTAGCAATTCCAAGACAGAAAATGACATATAACAGCTCAAGAGTGACAAGCATACACCTTCGAAAGAAAAGTAAGTGTTCATATACACACACAAACGGAAATATTCAAATAAAGAAAACCTGAAACTGCAGCCTGGGACCAATGATTCCCCCCCCCCCCCTTAGAGAAAAAGATAATTGACAAGTTGTATACACCCTCTCCCAATAAATTGATCTGATGGCCAATTTTTAAGTTAAACATTTAAAAGATTAATAACAGAGGTATAATACGCGGGCAGTATTGCATAAAGACGTTAGTCAGTTCTGGTGCCTTTAAGATACGTCTGCATGCAATACTGCCCGCGCATATATAACTAGAAAAAATATACAGTCAAACCTGCCAAGACGGCCACCTGTATAAACCGCCACTTTCAATTTCCCCCATTGTGGTTTTTTTCAATGCAGTGGAACTTGGTTTCATCTAAAGGAGTAGGATTTCCCAGTTGTTTTTTTTGCGGGCGGGGAACATCAGTAGTGATAAAAACACAACAAAATTATATTCATTTTCCCCAGCTACTGATCAATATCACATACAATGATAAGCTGATCTTGACATACATCTACGTAATGAATTACATGCTGGACTATAGAATCAAAGATTGCCGTGCTAGGCTCTACACAGCAACATAACTCTAAAGGCAAACAATATGTTATTATAGATGACACTAGCATGCATTTGAATGAATCTGCACTTTTGCCCAAGTGTGTGCTTGGTAGACTTCAGAGTATTTTCCTAAAATTTTCCAGCATTTCTTCAGTATCAAATAATAAACAAGATTTTTTTTTAAATGCCTCTCATTTGAAACCAAACTACTTTGATCGAGAAAGTCGTATACATTATACATTACTTGCTCAGTGCCTGTAATCACCTGCACAAAAACCTCATATATTTGCTCAAACGAACAATCGGACGCAAAGTTGAAACTGAAGGACAGGCCCGATGACTTCAATTGAATCCGAATTCTACTGTATATGGCTCTGTGTAAAATGATAACCTGTTAAAATTATCAGATTTAATACAGAGAAACATTTACTAAGTTAAAGTGAACTGCACTAAATTAAACATGCATGTAATTTTTATATATATATATTCCACTGCCATCAAAATCTTATCATAACCGAAAACCCTCCTGCCTGCATGCAGACAGATTAATTTTTCTACAAACAAACAGTTGACCACCCACCATCTGACCCTAGCAAAGGACAACATATGTTACACCAAACAACTTGAAAAGGAAAATCAATAAACATCACAGTCAGTCACGGGTTGGTGAATGTTCAAACACGTTAGCCTTGCCTATCAGGGGACTCCTGGGGTGTTAATGGTGTCACACACTTGGTTAAAAGGATTAAAATGTTAGATGTAGGATTTGGTACAATGTATAGGTTATAAATTCTTTTCTGATTCGCAGTTGGTCGAAGTTTTGGGCCTGTATCTAGAATACAACACTAATTATAACTACTACCATCCCAATAATATGTGGGGCAGTGTGGTGAAATCAGGCGCTCATCAAAATACAGAATTCGGAGAAACAGGCATTTTTCCGCCAGTTTGGAGATTTTAATCGAATTTTTATTTTTGGCTCAACCTCTTTTATGTCAATATAAAAGCACATTTCCAGGTGATTTTTATTGAAAAACATCGATTAAAGGCTCAAAATGTGTCATTTTTCTGTTTATGAAGGACTCTAAGCTGCTAGCTTTGGCTTTTGGAGTTATCAGACTTTGGCACCCATTTTCTCGCTAATTTCACAACTGAAACCAGGTGACCTCACTTCCTTCAATCGCAAATATCTTGAGTTCTATCAAAGTTAAATGGATATCTATTCCACTGAAAGAAAGGCAAACAAGTCAGCTTTCATAAGATACATAACTCCACATGCCCAAAAATTGACAAGCGCCTAATTCCACTGCGCCGTGACACATATACTGGCCTTTTGCTGGTAATCCCATTCAAGGAATAAGGCTTTTATTCAAAGGCCGGCTCTATTTCTCCGAACGTTCAGGAAATTTCTCCGAACGGTTTCCGTTCTCGAGATATTAGAAAATAAGCGAATGGAGTGGCCTGTGTGTGTGTGTGTGTGTGTGTGTGTGTGTGTGTGTGTGTGTGTGTGTGTGTGTGTGTGTGTGTGTGTGTGTGTGTGTGTGTGTGTGTGTGTGTGTGTGTGTGTGTGTGTGTGTGTGTGTGTGTGCATGTGTGTTTGTGTGTGTGTGTGTGTGTCTGTTTGTGTGTAAGGTGTGAATGGGTGGGGGGGGGGGGTTTTTTTTTTTCCTGAAGGATGTTAGTTTTTGCTGGGTGACTAAATGCAAAAAAGGTTAATTACTAAGGTCGAGCAGTCTTGTTTTCTCGCAGTACCTTTTGAAGGTATTTTCAAATGAAGTGTAGTCCGGGAACCACAACTGAAGTATCTGAATATTCAGACATTTTTTTAAAAAATATTTAGCTCTAGAAATTGAATTTGAAGCAAAAAAATGCTTCTTCCCAGTCCTCGCAGAATGGCAGAATGAAAGGGTGATGCCTAAATCTCGCAAATAACCCCAAAAATCTCGAAATCTGAAACCGTTCGGAGAAATAGAGTTCGACTTTATTTTCCCGAACTTTCGGAGAAATAGTCACTTCGTTATTTAAATGTTCTCGAATTGTTTGCATCGGGAATAGCACACATGAAGCATCAAAAGCGGGATAATAATATTAATACCGTTAACACTAATTTAAGTATCAAGTGAAATAAATAGATTCTAGATCTACATCTATACATTCACAAGCAGAAAACTTTACTAGATCTAGCGTAGCGATTAGATTCTACTTTCAATTTCAAATTTCAAGTCCTTCCAGCACAAAAGTAAAAAGGGAAAGTTGTCGAGATCTCCATAATGTTACATTCTACTGAAGTTTTAAGTCCAGTTTTCTCAATGGCTTGAACAAAAAAAAATAGAATCTAGATCTAGATCTAGATATCTAGATCTATGCTACCAAAAACGTTGACTAGGGAGTTAAT